TTTTTTTTTTCTCTTATACTCAGGAGTTTGACGTTTAAAACGTATTATAAAACAACAAAATAAACTTAAATGAATTGACTTTTTCTTTTGTTGTCTATATGTATTTCTTATTATACTTTGATATTTGAATTAACTAATGAAGAAGAAAATAATATTATAGATATTCTTAGAATGAGTAAATTGCCGACCAGTCGTTTACCAGTAACACCAAAAAATGTAACTACGACAAAATCAGGTCTTCGTCCTCCTCAACAAACTTCGACAACAACAACAACAACAACAATTTCATCTCAACAAGCAAGTCCAACTAGTGGAGATTCATCAAATAATCAATTGACTATTGGTGATCGTGTAATTGCTAATGGAAAATCAGGAGCTGTAGCATTTATTGGTCCAACCAAATTTGCTGACGGTATGATTAAAAATAAAATGATTTTAGATAAAAAAAAAAAAGAAAAAATAATTTTTTTTTAAATTTTAGGCGAATGGATTGGAATTATTCTTGATGAAGCTCAAGGCAAAAATGGTGAGGAAAAGGAAAAAAAAAATAAATCAATTCATATAATCTTTTTGTTATTAAGATGGTTCATATGAAGGTACTCGATATTTTGAAACTGAACCAAATCGTGGCTTATTCTGTCGATCGACCAAAGTACAACGCCTTACTCAAAATGGTGCTACCAGTAATAGTGATACATCCGGTCCAGTAAAACAACAAACAATTCCATTAACTGATACCTTAAAATCATCGACTTCAATATCGAATTCAGATAAAGGTATGCATATGTACATTACTGATCAAAAATATAAGACTAGCGTATTTTTTTTTCTACAATACAAAGCATTTAATTCAAAATGAAATAGCCAATATACCAAAATTTTCATAGATGGGCTTTGAGAGAAAGATTTCTAAAAAACCAAACACGATAGTTTTCAGAAGATTAGATGAAAAATAGTTTTTCAGAGTATCAAATTTAAGAGCATATAATCCTGGATAAAATGAGGGGTTACCACGCTTCCTACGATCTTCCCTCAAAAAGTTATTAACATCACAAAAAATGCAATTTTGAGCAATGCTATAATAAATTTCGCTTTATGAAGCTTATAACTTTGTGAGACAAGATCGTGAAAAATTCGACAATCCTTCTTGTTTATTCAGAATTTTATACTCTTTGAAATGATACTCTTAGAAAAATAATTTTCACAGTCTTTTGAGTAGGAATGACGAAAATTGTCTTCTTTTAAGATCGGAATCCGATTAAGAATCACTCACTCCATGATTTAAAATCAATTCTAAATGACTCACATAGAACATATCTTATGCTAAACAGAGCTAAAAATGTTCTCTTTTGTTGTTTAGCAAATCATTATTTATCTGTATATACTTCTAAAGCACTAATTTTAACTGTTTGTTAAAAGGTAAATAAAAAAAAGTGCATCGTCTTGCATGAAAATATTTCCGATTCCATATGTTTTGCATATAACAATCTAAATCAGCAGTACGAATTTTTTTTTGAGGGAGGAGATCGGAATCACCTATTCCTACTTCTTATATTTTTTTATCAGTACTGTAAAGTATTACAATTAATTTTTTTCTTCTGTATAGGAGAAGATGCAGACACAACATTAATAGATACAACAACAGCAGCTGATACTAGTACAACTACAAATGATCAAACTGTATTAACTGAACCATCATCTATTCAAGGACTTGTTGTAGGTGATCGAGTAGTTGTTAGTGGAACAAAATATGGTACACTAAAATATCTTGGTAAAATTCATGTTGCTGAAGGTATTTGGTGTGGTATTCAACTTGATGAACCTTTGGGTAAAAATGATGGTAGTGTTAGTGGAAAACGATATTTTACATGTCAACAACGTTATGGATTATTTTCACCATTGGCACGTGTAGAAAAAGTAACAAATGATATGAGTCAATCACAAATCGTTGGACGAAAAGCATCTGTATCATCAAGTACAAATAATAATCGTCAATTACAACGTTCAACAAGTCAAGAATCTCTTCATTCAAATTTATCAGAATTTTCAACATCATCAAATAGTATTAGTCGTATACCAACACGAACACCAGCTAAAAATCAACAACAAAAATTATCAACAAATACAAATGTTTATACAACACCAAATACAAAAACATTATTAACACAAGCAGCTGCTACATTAGCTGCTGCAACACCATCATCAAATCAAATGTCAAATTTAGTTCAAATAATAAAAGATAAAGATATATTTATTGAAAAATTACAATTACAACGTGAACAAGATCGTTTAGAATTTTCTCGTGCTGCACAACAAGTTGATGAAATGGAAAGTCGTTTATTAGCATTTAAACAACAATATGATATAAAAATATTAGAAAATGAAGAATTAAAAAAAGATCAATATCAAACAAAACAACGTTTAGAAGATTTAGAATTTCAATTAGAAGAATATAAATTAACTGATGCTAATAAAGATAATTTAATAACATCAACAATACCTGATGGTTATCGTTTATTATCACCAAATGAAATTGAAATTTATGAACAAATTAAAGGAAAACTTGTTGAATCTGAATCAATTAATCAAAAATTAACACTTGAAAAACAAACATTACAAGATGAACATCGACAAGAATTAAAACGACAAAATGAATTAAATGAAAATGATTTTAAAACACGTTTTAATGAATTAGAACAAAAATATAATAATAATTTAAAAATTAATCAAACAGAAAATATTGAT